TGCAGCTCCGCCGCCCAGTAGGGGTGGTCCTTGTGGTCTCGCTGCTCATCCTCGTGTTCTCGTTCCCCTACTTTTCTCAAGATTAAACCAGGCCGCGAAGGCACAGAAGCCTGGGCTCACTTTATCGGATTGTTTTAGTTTTTGAACAAAAATAGCTCTTGTTGGTTTACTTTTGTAGGGTCAGGAATGACCACAGGGTAGGTTTTCTGATCCAGCAGACCAGGTAAAGGGGGAGTCAGGGTCCTCAATGGTTTTTGCAGGTCTTTTATTTAGATTTACCAGGCACATGGCAGGCAGAGGTGCTGGGGGGCCGGGAGACTGGCAGGCCTCCCAGCCCCCAGCAAGTCCTCACTCTATCTGGGCTCTCTGGTGTTCCCTCTGCTTCTCTGCTCTTCCGTTTGTTCTGCTGCTTCTCGACTTCTACTTCGGCTTCTCCTAGCGTCCCCGTGACGCCGCCCTTAAAAGCCCAGTCTCAGTCCAGGTGAATCCCATCTACCTAGGCCCACACCCTACTCCAGGTGCCCGCCATCAGGCATGCATTCAGGACAAGGATCCATCATCTATCCTGATGGCGGGAGGGCAGAAAAGCCTGACATTTTTCCTTACCCTACAACTTTGTTCATGTGATAACCTACAAATCTTCCACTTTTTTTTTTCCTTCTGCAAAATATAGTGTGTTTAAAAGGCATTCTTGTATTGCAGCTCATTCTCGTGGCATCCAGTGGGAGATGGCCGCTTGGCCAGCTGCTGTCTGCTCTGATGTCGGAGAGGAGCCTTACGCCACGTCAGCTGTTGGAGTGAAAGAGAAAACCTTGAACTGCCACAACTGAGCCGAGCACGCTGGTCAGGCACATGGGCTCTAGAACCTGCCCAGCCCAGGGGCCTCTCAGAGTCTGTTTCCTCGCCTGTAACATGAAAAAATGATAGAACCTGCCCTTTGGGGTTGCAATGAGGGTGAAGTGAGCAGCTCCTTCTTAGAGAGGCAGCGTGCATCACGGATCTAAGAGTGCACTCTGGGTTGGAACTGCACTAGAGCTGCTTCCAGAAAACTGTGTGCCTCAGTAGTGTGGGCTGTGCTACTCATGTCGTCTGGCAAAGGTCCGGGCATGGGGCAGATTCCTGAAAAGTCAGGAATCTTGTTAGCTGACGCCTGCTAGATTCTTCTCATTTGTTTATGGCTGGTTCTTCTGAATATGGCAATTGTTAATACACCTATTTGAAAAGTAAAACCGCAAATGTTGCATGACCAAACACTAAATAACTAATTTGACAACAGTGGCACTGCGTGATAGAAACAGTCCATTTTGAAACAATTAGTATTTTTCTGCTTGGAAGCAGTGATTTAAATTTTGGTCTTACAAAAACAAGTGCTATGTCACACCTGAACACTTCTGGGAACTAAAGGCTGTAAACGTTCCTGGCCAAGTCTTTGACACAGATTTGTGGTCTTTTAAGGCAGAGACCATATGGGGAGGGTAGAGATAGCAGTTAATTGATAGCGAAGTTAGAGATAGTTGAAGTTAATAGTTGAAGTTAGAAATAACAGTTGACAAGATAAATAAAGAAGCAAAAGGAAAAAATATAGCCTTGAGAAAGTAAGTTTCCTTTTTTCTTTTAAAGCTTGGGGTTAGAAAAACTCAGTGCAAACTTATGCGGCCCTGGGATTCATTGGGTTTTTTTGATTCTTTACTACTTTTATTAAATTGGAAGAGATTAGTTATAAGAATAAAAAGTTTTTTGATTTTAGCAGTAATTGGATTTGACTACAATATATAAGGTGATTATGTTTTTTAATATTTAAGATTTAGGAATTGTATAGCTTTTGATTAATGAGTAATTTAGCAGTTATAAAGGAGTTCAGTTTTAGTCATGGAAGTTTTTTGCTGTTTTGCTGTTTTAGGATTAACAGAATGATGACTGGGCAGTGGAAAATAAATGATTGTTAGTGGACATTTTGTGTGGTAGTTGTATTTACTTGCAGAACTTAGTGAAATGGCTGTTATCACCTCAGCAAGGGGTCATAGGTCTCCAGGCCGGTTTTGAAAAAAATGTCATGGTAGTTTGTCTTTTTTACTACTTGAAAGCACTCGCGGATGTACTCCCACGCTTGCTCGAGACGTATAAATAAAGAGCTGCTGAGACCCTCGGCAGGATGATACTTGCACCCTGATCAAGTGTCAGTGTCTCCTTGGGCCTCCCTGGTGGCGCAGCAGTTGAGCGCTGGGTTGTGAAGCTGCCCGCAGCAGGGAGAGGGTCCCACATGGCGCGCAGACCTCTCCTGCCGCCCGCTGCCCCCCTCAGCAGTGTACTTCGGTCCTTCTGCCTGCTCTGCTCCCCGCTCTGGCTCTGGTGAATTCTCTCACCCTCCCGCACTTCTGACTGTACCCAGTGCTTGTACAAATAAATAAATAAATCTTAAAAAAAAAAAAAAAAAGAAAAAGTGTCAGTGTCTCCTCATTCCCCTGTTCCTTTTCCCTCAAGTCGCTGACTCCGTCTTTTCCTGCAGGGACCCTGACACGACAGTTTGCTGGAGCCGGCTTCCGGCACCTCAGTTTACCCCATCTAGAAGTTTACCCCCACTGTGGAGATAACCATAGTTCCCACATCACAGACGGTGATGAGGATTGAGTTAAGCGGGTGCAGCTGTTAGTGTTTGTGACTACAGAACTCTGGATCAGTGTGGAATCAACGTGGCATAGGGGTGAAGTGCACTTGTATCTCACACCCAGGGCACCTACACTTGGCCTGTATGGTGCCAGCACGTGGCGGTGACCAAGGAGATTTGAGACTCATTCCCTGCTCTGAAGGAACTAAAATCCTAAAACATACGTGAAACAAGTAGAGAAAATGAGCCACACAAATATACACACGAGAGTTGTCCCACCAGTTTATTGCCAAAGGGAATATAATGTTACAGTTGCAGAATAAGACCTTCTTTTGCACCTGCGGTTTCCTTTCCCAAGGCAGGCGGGTGCTAATCTCTGGAGGCTGTGACTGTCACTGGAAAGAGAATCTTTGCAGCTATGACTAAGCTAAAGGTTTTGAGGAGGGGAGATGATTCTGAACTGGGTGGGCTCTGACTGCCAGCCACAGTGTCTAAGAGGGAGGCAGAGGGGAACTGGACGCAGGAGAGGAGAAAATCATGTGGCCAGGGAAGGGGTGGATGGGGTGATGCCCCCACAAGCCAAGGAAAGCCGACAGCCACAGGATGCTGGGAGAGGCAAGACCCAGAGTCTCCCTGGAACCTCCGGAGGGCATGTGACTTCCCACACCTTGGTTGTGACCAGCGGAAAGAATCAGTATCTGTTGTTTTAAGTCACTGAGTTTAAGGTCCTTTGCTAGAGCAACCATGAGGCACCAATGCAGCCTTGGCTGAAACTCCTGGCCCCAGGAGGCGGCGGCTGCAGGTGCGCTGCCTCTCCCATTAAAATGCACAATAGCAAACACTGCAAAAGTCAATCAGTTACTTGCTGAAAAACACAGCACATCTGTTTTTAATCTCACAACGGCCAGCTGATCCTTGAACAACACAGGTTTGAACTGCACAGGTCCTGAGTACATGGATTTTTCTTGTAATCAAAGATGCCATACACTTAGGGTATCAATAAATACTGTCCAATACGGTAAAACCATTTCCTCTTTTAACCTTCTGAACACCATTTTCTCTTCTCTGCATTACTTTATTGTAAGAATACAGCAGATAACACATCTAACTTACAAAATATGTGTTAATCACCTCTTAGTGTTATTGGTAAGGCTTCCAGTCAACAGCAGGCTATTTGTAGTTAAGTTTGGGGGGAGTCATAAGTTACTCATGCATTTTTGCCTGGGGCGAGGTGGTCAGTGCCCTTAGCCCCCACATTGCTCGAGGGTTAGCTGTATTTCCAAATAATTCAGGGAGATCCAGGAAGGAAGCAGGACAGGAGGACAAGCAGAGAATCTGGTGCTCTCTGTACCTGGTCATTAGGAACCTGGCCTCACAAAATCATTCATATAGGTAAGTGTGTTAGGGGTTAGGTAGACATTTTCATGTGATTTTTTTTTTTACATAGGCAGAATAATTACTTCTACTATAAAATGATACCCGGAATATATATAAATGAGAGTGAACTTTATCATGTTTAATAGGAGATAGACTTGTTTTTCTATAAAATCTAGCAAGACCACCACAAGTCCTTACCGTTGCGCCAGCAGCAGTCCCGAACTTGGTCTGGATGCTCCTGTGCCAACAGCAGGTGGCTTAGGTATCAGAACTTCGAGATGCAACTCCACGGCAAAGTCATGACTCCCTGCTGGGAGTCTTAGACTTGACAGGGAAGGTGGACAAGATCAGGGGGCTGTACACACCCCCATTATCTCCATTTGTTCACCCACCAAGTCCTCCTTGAGCCAATCACTGGCATCACTTTCCCAGCTCCTTACTGGGGCCACTAGGAGGGTCTGGATGGAGTTTAACCTCTGCGGTGCCCCTCCGCTGCCTTGCTGAGAAGTATTGGGAGAGAAAGAGCTAGTCCAGTGTCCATCTGCACCACACCTCAAGCAGTGGCAAATTGACTCCCATGAGTCATTCCGCTCAGGTCTAGACCATCTTGGTAGTCTAGACCACCAGGTAATTCCCCATGGATTATTGCAGTGGGTTGAAAATAGTTTGCATGCTCTTTATTTTTTTATTTTATTTTTTAAAAATATTTTATTTTTATACAAGAGCCAGGGTACAGGCCAGATGCGCGGGAGGGCAAGAGGATTCACCGGAGACAGAGCAGGAAACAAAACAGGCAGACTGACGAAATACACTGCTGAGGGGAGCAGTAGGCGAGACAGGAGAGGTCTACCGCGCCATGTGGGACCCTTGCTGGCAGGCCGGGATTGAACCGGCGCTGCAGAGGCTGTGGACAGCTTCAGTGTGGTGCTCAACTGCCTGCGCCACCAGGGAGGCCCTGCATGCTTTTTATTTTCAATTTTTTGGTGCCCACACACTTGGTTCTCTGAGCTTGGCTCAGCCCTGCTCACCAGCCAGCTCCTTTGGGCTGAGTTACTGCTAACCCTCCCATTGACACAGCCCTCAGCATGACCTGAAGATGGGAGTCGAGAACCCTGAGTCACCAACAAGCTTTAATGAAACCTCCAGAAATCCTAAAGCCCTTCACCAAGCCCCTCAGGAACCTCAGTCCTCACAGACGCCCTGTGAAACCGCTGTTGACGCATCCTTGGTGGCCACGGTCCAGACGCCAGCCCGTCGGACTGGGTGAAGATCCCGCCCGTGGCACTAACCAAGCACTTTTGGAGGAATCACCCTTACGAAAATTTACCCAAATAGTAGTTTTCCCATCTCCGCACCTTGTTAGTGAGTATTTTCCATTTGTTTGTGTTTATCCTTTCAATCCCTTTGCGAATCAAGTCGCTGAGAAGAATATACTGGTAAGAATAGATGTTGTCACAGGACTGCAAAGAAAACTCCTTTCTGTTGTTGATGATAAACCACTTCAGAGAAGACCAGGCGGAGTCTAAAGGGTTCAGGTAATTGTAAGGGGACGGCAGAGAGAGCAGCTCATGGCCACAGGCTTTGGCCACCTTGGGGCAGCACATGATGCTCGTTAAGTTAATGACGGGTGAGCCTTGGGCCTGGCTCGTGGGCTCTTGGTCCTCCTTTGGCTGCACCTCATCCGGCCTCGCTCTCTCTTTGACCACGATGGCACATTTGCCGTAGGTCCTCTTCGTCACATTACAGAACTCAAAGAAGACATTGTCTTCTTGTTTGTTACACAGCTCATCTCTTAGGAACAGCCGATATTTCCAAGGCACCCATCCTTGGCCACCACCAGCATGCACAAGACACCATGTTGGAGTTTGCATGAAGTAGCCGTCACTAAAATCTTCCCCGGTTACGAGACTTTCTGGGATATCAGTTTCCCCAAAATACACAATCTTAAATCCATCGTATTGCAGCGTTCTCAGGGTTTTCAAATACTGGAGACATTGTTTCCTTTTGATGCCATCGAATGGACTTCTGGTGACGATGTTTCGTAAAAGGGGGTTTGCAAAGTGAAACATGGGTTCTCTGCAGTGTTTTCACAGTTGCATCCCCCCACCTGTGGGGCCTGGCAGGGATGGGATGATGACCTCATAAAGGGCTTTCTTACAGCTGGGCTGATCCCATAAATACACTTAGGATTTCAAAGCATCACACATACTCAGAACAATTCCCACAGGCTTGCCAGATAAGGACATGAAATGGTCTCCATAGAAAATGTTACTTTGACGTGGATTCTGTAATAGATCTGGGATGGAGATTGGCCACTGCATCCCTTTGTGAGGGCGGTATCAGGAAGCCACAGGCTGGCTAATGTAAGCAGCAACTTGTTTTTTCAGTTCTGGAGCTGCAAGTCCAAGGTCAAAGTGCTGCCATCTCTTTGTGTCTTCACACCTGTCCTCTTGGAAGAGGGCCCACCCTGATGACCTCACTGTACTTTAATCACTCATTGAAGACCCGTTTTCCAGATACAGTCACATTCTGAAGTAGCAGGGCGTGAGGGCTTTGACCTATGACTCGGGGGGAGTGCATTTCAGGCTATGAGAGCAATCTTTAACAATGAGTCAAGTTTCTGATTCCTTCTACTTGCTCATCAGGATGGAGAGGAATATTTATACTCATTCATCCCAAACTCGTTTTCTGAGCACCTGCTATGCACCAGGCGGTGTATGAGGTCCTGGGAGGTCTGGGGATGTGGGTGGCGTCTGTCTGTCCTATAGCTCCTGGCAGCTGCCTTCCTCTTTCACCATCAAGAGTGCTTCATCCAGGTGGTGGAAGGGAGTTAGGGCAAACAGCAGAGGGAAGCCTGCATGCGGACCTTTCACAAGGCTGCCGACTCTTGAGCTAATTCCACACACCTGCAAAGCATTATATACTCAAAGCAAAGTGGCAATTTGCCTTAAACTCTAGCAGCCTCTTCTTAAAAAAGATTTATTTATTTATGCATACAAGAACTGGGGTACAGGCCAGAGGTATGTGTGTGGGGTGGCGTGAGAGGATTCACCACAGACGGGAGCAGAACAGGCAGATGTACTGAAATACACTGCTGAGGGGAGCAGCGGGCGAGAGAGAAGAGGTCTGCTGCACCCTGTGCGTAACTCCCTGGCCAGGAGCGAACTTGTGCTGCAGTAGTTGCGGACAGCTTCATAATGCTGTGTCTTTACCCCTTGTGCCACCAGGGAGGCCCCTCTAGCAGCCTCTTTATTTCCCTTTATTTGTATTTTCTGTCCCCTTCCTCAAAGCAACAAAACTCAACTCAGTAGGAATGTAGACTCCCTCCCCAACACACCCCAGATCATGGTCCCTGAATATTATTTCCTATGGAAAGAATCAGGAGCCCTTAGCTTCCAGGTCCAGGAAAGGAAATATAAAAATCAGCTTAGAGCACCGTGTCCAGCCAGACAGTGAGGACCAGCCAGGACCAGCAGGTTCTGTTGAAAGGAACCACGCTTCAATAAAAAGGGGCTCCATTGTCAAAGGTGGGATGTTTTGAGCATCAAAACATAAACAAAACAACGAACAATGCCTACAATAAATTGAAGTACTATGTAGACTTTGAGTTCATAATGATACTTTAAAAAATCCAACCATTAAAAAAGGACAAAAACATGGTTTGTTGTCTTTGGAGGTGCTTTGAGGGGCATCACTGCATTATTTTGCCAAATAATAAGTGGAAGAACCAAGTGCTTATCATGCCTTTCTTTGTGCGGCTTTGAAACAGTCTAGGTCAAAGAAACTGTGAGTCAGTAAGATGTAAAGTGCTCTGTTCCCTGGATAAACAACTAAAGTGGATCCCAGGCTGAGTCACCACAGCTGCTTATTTAAACAGGTGGACTAATCTGCACACTACCAATTTCGTTCTGCCCTTGACTCTGTTCAAATAACCCTGCTTACCACACTGGCCACAAGGCGCCATGCTAGATGAAATCCTTAGATGCCGACTCATGATCTCACAGCTTCCTGGGGGAGGAAGCCTGAGCCCTCACACATGCCCTCCTCTTCCCGTGCTGGGGAATGGCCCAACCCAAGCTCTGACCCTGGCCCCTCCTCCCTGTCTGTGGGCCTACCTTTGATCAGCTCCCTTCCAGAGCCAGGCTAAATTCTCCTCTCTCTAGCACTGTCTCCCCCATGTGTGAGTCTCTAATAAAGCCTTGCCTGGTTCCACCACACCTACTGGGCTCTGGCGAATTCTCCTCCAGAGGGTGAAGGACCCACTCCTTCGGGTTGAGGCTGGTAACAGCTTCCAGGTGAGAGTGGGAAAAGCCAGAGTGTGTGGGATGTGGCCTGTGTGGTGAGTTAGACATGATCAGAGCCTTGGGGTTGTGAGTAGAGGCCCTAGTCCCAGATAATCCAGGGTCAAATCATAGCACACACCCCCGTCCCCATGAACCTCAACTGAAAAATGGGGGGAATACATACCTGTGTGAGCTGAGGACTATTGACATAGGCTAATCCTCTGGCTCAGTTTCTTAAGTGGCTGCAGCTGTTGCTGCAAGAGGCTGACTGGAAAGACAGAGTTTGGCAGTGAGTGACTGAGGAGAAAAGGAACAGTCACGGGAGGGAAGAGGAAAAACAAATCAACACTGAGGATCAATGTTGAAATGAAACAAGTTGTTCTCCCTGTGGAAAACTTGGAAGTTCCTTCCCTCCACTTCTTCCTTCCTTTCTCTATCTCTGTCTCTCTCTTCCCCGCTCCCCCCCAGCTTCATCAACAAACTCTGAATGTCTCCCTTTCTGGGAAAATCTTGGAAAGACTAGCATTCCCTTAAATTCCCTCCAGGAAGGTGCCATCTTGTAGGAGAGAAGCAGAATCAGCAAAGGACTTTGATTCAAGATGGCCCCTAGGGGGGCAGAAAGCTCCAGAAGTGGGAGGGACACTAAACATGGAGATGGAGTGCCCTGGAGATGGGATGCCATGGGGAGGAGCTCATATTTCAGCTGAGATAAACCTTCAAAGGGTTCCTGACCTCACCCTTCAAGATGTGGTGAGAAGGCTGGCAGGACTGAGCTACACCCATCCAGCAAATGTGCAACCACTAGCGGTTCCAGAATGCACAGCCAGCAAATTCCAAGGCTTCTCCATTGAGGAGAATGAATGGGCTGAACATCCACAAAGGTGTGTGTAAGGGCAGGACAGGCCACTGAGCAGGTTTTCTGATCCAGCAGACCGGGTCAAGGAGGAGTCAGAATCCTCAGTGGTTCTTGCAGGTCTTTTATTTAGATTTACCAGGCATATGGCAGGCAGGGGTGCTGGGGGTCTGGGAGGTTGGCAGGCCTCCTGCCCCCAGCAAATCCTCACTCTGTCTGGGCTCTCCGGCCTTCTCTCACATTCTCTCTGCTTCTTTCTCGGCTTCTCCTGGCGTGTCCGTGAGGCTGCCCTTAAAAGCCCAGACTCAGCCCAGGTGAATCCCATCTACCTAGGCCCACACCCTACTCCAGGTGCCCGCCATCAGGCATGCATTCAGGACCGCAGATCCATCATCTATCCTGATGGCGGGAGGGCAGAAAAGCCTGATACTTTTTACGTTACCCTACAGTGTGCCTGCAAAGGAGAGGAAAGGAGGGGCCAATGGCTGTTTGGGCGAGTGAGTCTCCAGGTGCACTCAGTGTTAAGATGGCGCCGGTCCACTTCCTGTTTACTCGGCCTGTTGATAGGCCTCGGCTGACGCCAGGTACAGGTGCACTTTCTATACAGGCTCACTGGCCTTATTGGGCTTCCCGGCATTGTGCACTCTAATTGTATTTTCTACAAATTAAAGGTGTGAGGGGAAGAGACTATTGTTGTCAATTTTCCAACAGCATGTACTTCGTGTCCCTGTTACATTTTTTAGTAATAAAGTATTTTTTATTATTTATTTATTTATTTATTTTTAAAAATATTTATTTATGTATGCATACAAGAGCTGGGGTACAGGACAGAGGCGCGGGGGGTGAGAGGATTCACCAGAGACAGAGTGGGGAACAGCACAGGCAGAGTAACTGAAATACACTGCTGAGGGGAGCAGCGGGCGAGTCAGGAGGGGTCTGCTGCACCATGTGGGTTATTCCCTGGCTGGCCAGGGATCGAACTCGTGCTGCAGAGGCTGCAGATTACTTCATAGGTTGCATCTTAACCCTTGCGCCACCAGGGAGGCCCAATAAAGTATTTTTTTAAATGAAGGTATGTACCTTGACTTTCAGACATAATTCAGTTGCACACTGAAGCATAAACTATTTGCACTACTGTGTAAACTTTTATATACACTGGAAACCACCCCCCCCCCAAAAAAAAACCATGTCCCTGGCTATATTTCAATGGTAGCTTTATGGCTGTGACGGAGCTGCGTTATTTCTGAGGGGTGCTGTATTGCTGGTGTCCCCAGAGGGGCTGGGAAGAGGGGAGTTAGAGGATCTGTTACTTTATCAGAATTGAAAAAAAATAAAGCCCTCAAGAACTTTTAACTTATACATGCAAAACATGTGTGTTGTAAATAGTGTCATTTCAAGTGACTTATTCTTCCTCCGGCTTCACCTCCGTTTCCCCGCCAGAGGGAGCCCCCGCTGGAATTCGTTGTGTTCATCCAGTCACCTCTCTGCTCCTGGGCGTCCAGCGCGGGGAAGGCCTGATGCTGCTGGGACACAGCCCTTGAGCGCGCACAGGGATCCCTGAGCAGCGGCCCTGAGCCCAGGTGGCCGAGGAAGCCGGGGCTCACAGATCCTTAACAGGAACGACCTCCTGACGTGCTTACGTGCTTTAGAGAATAAAGGGCAGCTGACCAGGGCCCAGGGGCTTCTCCACATCCCCCGCCCCCTCTGCAGCCTCTCCTCCTCACGTGTAAAATGGTTGTATTGGACCAGGCAAGGGCTGGGTTCATTTGCTCTAAAATGTGGTCTTTTCTTGCAAGGTAGGCAGAGGGACTGTGGCTGCGTGTGTGTGTGTGTGTGTGTGTGTGTGTGTGTGTCTATGGCTGTAAGTGTGTATGTGCAGAGAATGGGTATATATGGGAAGAAGTATGCATGTGTGCATGTGGTGTGTCAACGTGGATATGTGGGGTTGTGTGTGAATGTGTATGCGTGTGGGCAGTTTTGGGAGTGTGTGTTTGTGTGGTAGGAGGGAGGGAGGCGGTCACATTCCTCCCCCGTGCTTGGGCGTAGCATGGACTAATCAAGCCAAAGAGTGGCCGGTGGGTGTGAAGTGTGTCCCTTCCAGACACCAGCACTGAATTTTGCAGGAAGCCCTGCAGCTCTTCCTCAGGCACTGAGACCAGCAGTGCCTCAGCGTGGCGGCCCAGAAACCCTGGTCTCCATGCCGGGATGCCAGGACGTGGAGCAGAGCCCAGTGGTGCTGCCGCATGGGTGCAGCTTGAGAGCGAAATCTACCTCATTCAAAATGGCTGCCTTCCCACACCTCCCTTGCATGGAAACAAAAGCACATTTTGGGCAAAGACTTCATGGAAACATCCCAGGGAAATATCACTTTGGAACTGGATAGTCCTAATTTGACTCCCTTGCCAGCTGTGTGACAATATGCAGGGTTTTTAACCTCTCTGAGCCTCGACTCCCTAATGGAACCCACTTCACAGTTTGTGGGCCAGCAGATGCCAAAGCACCTCGTGTGCAGTGGTGTCATCAAATGTCTACTTCCTCTTCCCGTGGCACCTCTGAAGACATGTGGTGGCCTCTCCTCTTCCCAATAGCACCCTGAGTTCTGAGCAGGCAATCACCCGTGAAGCTCAGGTTCCTGGGGAGGAAGCCATGCCAACTCCTACCCCAGACTTGAATCAATGAGCACCTTCCTGCCCTCCTCAGTGCATGGTGTAGGGAGTGTGGCCCCCAGAATGTCTCAGGATCCTTCCCTGGACCTCTGGGCACTTAGGCCCCCAGGGAGTCAGACTCACTTCCCTGCTGCTCTGTTTCCTGGGAGGAGACCTGTCCTGCCTTCTATGCACAAAGCCTCCCCCACACTTGTCCAGACGCCTCCCATCCGGCAGGGGACACAGCCTGGACTCCAGCTGGGACACCTATTTGTTTGTTTTCTGCTAATTAAACTCATAAAACTCTGCCCAGTGGGATTGCAAGGCAGGGCCATGGGTGAAGGGCCTGCGAGGTGGGGAGAGGGGTTGAGGAGCGGCGTAGTGTAGACACGTGGGCAAAAGTGCTTGTCTGGGCCCTGGCGGCAGCTCAGGCCAACAACACGAGCTAATCAGTGTCTCAGACAGCTCAGGACGACCTGGGGGGGCAGGAGGCAGGCAGCTCAGCAGCTCCCTGGCAAATCATAATCACCAAAGAAGACTCTCTGGGGAGCTTCTGTGCCCAAACAGAAGCAAAACAGAAACCCATGTCATCAGAATGAAGTGGCTTAATTTGACATTTGTGACTTTTATTGGGGTCTCGGCGACACTCTCCCGCTTGCTGGTTTCACTTCATTACATTTCCCCAGGCGTCAGCGCGTATTGCTAATGCCAGTGGCCCACACAAATCTCTTTTTCTGGCCTGTCCTGACATTGATGAATCAATTTTTTCAGTCCTGTCTGTCTGCCTGAATTACCAGCACTTCAGGGAAGCCTGTGGAGGACTTTCCCTCTGTCCACGCTGATGTGGTCCCCGCAGAGCCCGGGAGAGGCTATGACTCCTCCTGACAGTGACCCACCGAGTCTCCCCATCGGTGGCTAATTAAATGCCAGGCCCCTGGAGGGCCCTGGGATGGCCGGTCCTTCTCCTGGGGCCTGCCCTTCTATTGCCCCCACCACGCTCTTCCTGGCCAAGTGACCTGCCCCCGTCCTGCTCTCTCGAGACCCTGGCTCACCTGCACCTGGTTCTTAGTCCCTGCCCCTCTGTCCCGCCACCTCATCTCCTTTCCCCAGGAGACGCTTTCTCTCTATCCCAGCATCCGGGCCTTTGTGTGACTGTGCTATAACAAGAACGCTGTCTATTTGGTCATTGATGCTGGTTCCTAGCGCGGAGCTTCTCAAAGCTTAGAATGTTCTGGGTGATGAGAGCATCTTCTATTACTTACAGCAAGCATCACCACTACCACCCACATGCCATCAGCATTAACGCAGGCATCAGCAAATATCACAGCCACCATCACCTCCACCGTCATCACGCCACAATCACCACCAGCACCACCAGCACCAGCTGTCACCACTGTTAGGACGAGGCTTATAATTGCGTATTTATTTTACTTTTCAAAGTACATTTACACTCATGATCTCATTAACGCTTCTCTACTTTGTAGAATTGGCAGAACTGGCGTCATTCTTATCTGTGCAGAGACTGAGGTCCAGAGAGGTGTGTGCAAGGGCCACAAAGTGGTTGATAATCAAATCCAGACTAGAATTTGGTTTTTCTGACTCCAGAACAAGTGCTTTTTTCCCCCCAATGGACCCCATCTTCTCAAAGAAAATGAAGAATTCTGACTAACTTCTAATGTTAACAACTTGGTTCTATATTCCAGTTAATGTCTGTAGTGTCCAGTGTACATGACCCTGGGGGTCTCGTACCCCAACCCCACATGTTCCAGGTGATCCTCTAGCCTTACCAAATGCAACCCCCTACAAGCTGAATCTTCGTCCGGGGAATTTGACCCCAAATTCAGCTGTGTTTCCCGGAATATTGACATGCACCCCTGGACTCTAACTCCCTCGCCCCCACACCCTTCCCTGGGGCATACATACACTTTCCAGTGAAAGGTCAGAGTGTGGCTGAAGCTACAGCCCTTGTTCTCTCTTCTCACTATGCTGGAAAGCCTGAGAAGGAACCGGGATGCTGCCTTCCGGACACTCCCCTGTTGGCCGGAAAGGCCCCCAGCTCACAGGTGCTCTTCCACCCCCACGAGGGCTTGACCCCTCTCTCAAGGTTGCAGGTGGACTCAGAGCTGCTCCGCCAACCAAGAAAGTTGGCCCCCAGGGAGGCTGGCTTGCCCTGGCTTCCAGGGGCCCCTGGGATTTCCACTGGGGGGCTGCTGTTGGCATGCGCTGGCCTCAGACTGGGCTGGGTGGGCTGGAGCACAGCTCTGTTGCTGATGGTCTGTGCAGAGCACCTGGGGACATTGTTCTGGAGTCCTTTCTTTTTGAGCTCAGAGTTCACATTTGAGTAATAAGTGTCTTCCAAGGACTTATCACTCCTTCTGAGGATGTTGCTGGCCAACTGGAAGAGGAAGACAACACTGAAGATGCCGAAGATGGTGAGGATGTACCAGGCGGCGCTGGTGCCATCTGGAAGCTTCAGGGCCCTGGTGGAAGTGGACCCATTTCGCCCCTCAATGTGGTCCCTCAGCGGGTGCCCCAGGTGGGTGCTGGCCTGGGTGTGGGAGGCCTCCTGAAGAATCCCCGTGATCCCTGAGAAAGAGAGGAACCAGGTGAGACCCAGCATCCTACACCGGGGGATCCCCGGCCAGGCCACTCACAGGTGGCCCTCAGAGCAGTGGGAATCCTGGGAATGCCCAAGAAGGCTTCCCTGTGGACAGAAGCCTGACAGCACATGTGGGTATATTTTAAAACTCCAAAGAGTTCAAAGCACTTAAGTTCTTGAGTAGAAGACAAAAGTCAGTTGTCCCCGAAATGATCTATACAACTAAAACAATTTCAATAAAAATATCAGTAGGATTTCTTTGAGAAATAGATAAACTATGCCTATTAAAAAACTGTCAAGACTAATTAGGGAAAATCTGATTAAAAACAAAAGCTGAGTGATGAGTGCACATTAGCTGAGAAATATCACACTAGCCCGTCGGAGAAAGCATTTGTGCTTAGACTGAATAAATGTTTTATCTGTCCACAGTCCAGCTGCTTTGCAAAAGGTATCGGGGAGGGGGCTCTTGTACGAGGTACAATTCTCCTTAAACAATAGCCCCATAAAACCACATCAGGGCCTCCCGGTGGCGCAGCGGTTGAGCGCTGGGTTGCAAAACTGCCCGTGGCCTCTGCGGCGCCGGTTCCATCCCCGGCTGCTCCCCGGCCACTGGAGGAGGGTCCCGCATGGCGCACAACCTCTCCTGCAGTGCCCGCTGCTTCCCTCAGCAGTGTCCTTCGGTCCTTCTGCCTGCTCTGCTCCCTGCTCTGGCTCTGGTGAATTCTCTCACCCTCCCGCGCTTCTGACTGTACCCAGTGCTTGTATAAACAAAACAAACAAACAAACAAACAAACAAATAAATAAACAAAACATGCCTCTATTAAAAAAAAAACAAAACCCACATCAGCACACACGGTGTGGAACTGACACCCGGGCAGGCAGCCCAGAGGGCCGGGGTGAAAACACCAACACCAGGAATTGAGTGTGATGGATGATGAAGGGCAGGTCTGACCGGCAGGGGAAAGGCAGGTCATTCTACAGCCTTGAACAATACAGAGGGAGCCCACACCTCTCACCTGATACCCAACAACAGTCTGATAAACCTAAGATTCAAACATTAAAAGAGGGAACAATTTAAAGTTCCAAAACAAAGAAACCAGCAAGGGGCGGGGTGGGGGGGGCGGTGTTTCTTTTATCATCTCGGAGTGGAATCTTTATCTTGGACTATTGCTAAGCAGAGCACAAAAATTCAGAGACAGGGTGGAAAGAAGAAAGAAAGTGTTAAATCCAGCGACATCGGAAAATGTGAAGTTATCACACAGCAATAAAACCAAAAGACAAAGGGCAAAATTGAGGGAAAAAAATGCAACTTATATTGCTAAACTTTTCAATAGCGTTCAGTTCTTGAAGAGAAGGTTACACTCCAGCGGAAAAACACGCAAAGGATGTGGACAATAAGGTCACAGAAGAAAGAGTGGACCTTGAGCGGGACCGAGATGTCTCATCACTCACGATAAGAAAAACCCAACTCTAATGGAGAAATTGTAAAAATGTGTTTCCTCTTTGAAAGGTTTTTAAAAAAAAAAAAAAAAAAAAAACAAAAGAAAAAACCATTAAAAAAAAAGAAAAAAAAAAGAAAAACTACGAATTAAAGCGATACTGAGTCAACACGTCAGCTTGGCTTGCAAACTCGTGGTGTTTCAGCAAAACCATGAGGGTGCATCCCACGTCCCCCTAAAGATATACCAGCTAAACGTGTGCGGCCCAAGCTTGGTCGCCGGAGGCGACCCAAACGTGTGCAGCCCAAGCCCTGGCCGGAGGGCACGCTGGCCAGGTCTGTCGAGCCTACAGATGTCCTTACCTTCGATGGGGCTAGTCTATCGGCGTGGATGGAGCCCAGGAATGCACTGGAACAAGTCCCAAGCGATGATACTTAAGCCTCGTCACTCCGGCATTGCTCACCATGACTAATGCTTAAGAACAGCCTGATTGGCATCAACTGGGGGAAGATTTAGTACATTTGGAACCTCCACGCATGGGATGCATCAGGAAGAGCATCTGGGTACTCAACATGAATGAATGAAAAATGGGCTAACTGGGATTGAGAGCAACTGCCTATGTAAATAAAGGAGGAGGCCCATTTTATATGTGTATAAAATGCCTCTGGGAGAACTCACAAGAAATTGCTGCCTGTGGCTGTCTTTGGGGAAGAGATATGGGCCAAAGAGATGCAGTGTTCACTGTCCTGTTCTCTTGCACATTCTGTACCGTGTATATTTATTTATAAAAAGAACTTACTTTAAAAATGAGTTACAGTTGGGTGCTGTCCTGCCCCCTTGAGGAAGCACCCCTGGAGAAAGTCACTATGTCCCTCCCAAGAGCAGAAGATTAAGATCTTAATTGCTGTGTAATTCAAAACTGTTTTCTCTGGAGGGAAGCCAGGTGAAAATGAAACAATGAATGTCAGAGAAGTAATTTATAAAGTTGTGAGCTGTTCTCCAGCTGATTTTTACCAGTTCAAATGCCATTTCTCGTGCTGTCTGAACACAGATGTCTTCCCATGTGTCCTAGGGTAAACCCCGTAGCCTGCTGGGGAGGCCAATGGAGTCCCATAGAGGCTCCTATCTGACACGTGTCTGTGCTAATTCATTTTGCTAAAGTAAGACTCAGAGAGGCTGGCATCTTTTTACTGTAGTAAATTGTCAGGACATCTGAACTTCTAGATGAAGCGAGACACCATTAAAAAATTGCTCTACAGGGGCCTCCCTAGTGGCTCAAGTGGTTAAGTCTCAGCACTCTGAAGCTATCAGCAGCCATTGCAGCAAGAGTTCGATCCGCGGCCAGGGAGCAACCCACATGGCGCAGCAGACCTCTCCTGTCTCGCCTCCTGCTCCCCTCAGCAGTGTATTTCAGTAGATCTGCCTGCTCTCCCCTCTCTGTCTCTGGTGAATCCTCCTACCCCCCGCATCTCTGGCCTGTACCCCAGTTCTTGTATGCATAAATAAATCTTTTTTAAAAAATAGCTCTCCAAACTGCGTGTGATAAAACCCAAATTAGCAGTGAATGAAATCAAACAGGTTGCTCATGAGAAACAACACAATGACCAGGAATTTTACATCCCTGTCGGTGGAATGATTTGAGGAAATATTCCCATAATTATTAGAGAACAAATCGACCCAACACAAACATCATCAAAATCAAATTAGACAAGAGAACGAGCTTAAACTCAGAGCACAATTATAAACTCATCCAAGTTTTTGTGAATTATTAAAAAGTGATGTGATATGTTCAAATACATATCAAATCGACCGAGCTAAGCACTGCTGAACATTGTTTTAAAATCAGTCCATTTTCCACATGTATGAAATGCGCATCCTGCAGAAGAGAAAACTTTTTGCCTGTGCCATTCTGCGTTTGTGACAATGCGAGCAGATGGTGGACACAGAATACTCACATTCCATGAGGGGTCCCTGCCTTCACTCTCCGGGAGTCAGCTGAAGTGGCTGCCTGGGCAAAGGAAGATGATGGAAGAGGAATTCCTTCTCCATGCACACGCTCCCTGCCCTGCTGAAGTCGGACTGCACTGAGGTCCCTGAGCAGGATGTAACTTGATAGCCTCAGAATTGAAAGGCAGTATTAAAGAGAACTTCAGCAGAGAGGAACCACGTCCATTTTCTCTCATTCGCTCAATCAGGGGATCTAAGTTGATCAGTCCTCTGCTGGCTCCGAGGAAAAAGCACTTTGTCTTCGGCTTGCTGAGAAATCTAAAACAAAACCCTGTTTATAAACATCCTGGTCCCCAGGAGTTCTCAGCCCTCCCGGCCGCGGCCAGACCTGCAGGGGCAGGCAGGTCTCCTGAGGCTGGCTCATCAGCTGATGGCCTGGAAGTTTCCCGAATTTCCTTCTTCTGCACCTGCTGCAGGTGAGGCAGGTGGTCAGGTGTTATTATAGATCCAGGAAACTCCATGGGCACGAGTCACCCGTTTCCTCTGGGGCCCTCTCCAGGATGAGGACAATGAGCCAGTGTGGAGCAGGCATAGGAGGACACAGTGGGTGACCTGGGGCTCCTCAGGAGTCCTGGGTGTAGGCCCCTGGGCCAGGGAGTGAGGGATGGCGCGCCTCTTCCCCACACTCAAGTCATGGACACTGAAATCAAAATAGATTGAAATGGAAAGCACTAGAATGAGGAGAGGCCATGTAATTTGACCAAACTTCCATTAATGGGGGGGAGGGACTAGAGAAGTCAATTATGAAATAGACCCTGTGAACCAGAGCTCCACCCCAGGTATATACCCAGGAGAAATGGAAACATACCCCAGACTGAAACGTGGTTGCCAATATTCATGACAGCATTACTTATAATAAAGTGGAAACAGCCCAAATGTTCAATCACCAATGAATAGATGAATAAAATGCGGCACAATCACACAATGGAATATTATTTGGCAATAAAAAGGAACGGAGTACAGTCATGTATCATTTACCCACAGGGCATGTTCTAAGAAGTGACTCTTTAGGCAGTTTGTGCTTGTGCAAACGTCATAGAGGGTAACCCACCTTCGTACCCCATGTCCAGGATGGGTGGCAGAGCCCTCGGGACCACCGTCATATGTGCTGTCTGCCCTTGACTGAAATGTTGTTAAGTGACCAAGACTGAACTGCCTCATGTTTTAACATGGGTGAAACTTGAAAGCTTTATGCTAAGTGGAAGGAGCCAGTTACAGGCCAACCTATTGATTGATTCCATTTATATGAAATGTCTAGGATAGAAAAACCTCTAAAAACAGAACATAGATTAGTGGTGCTCAGGCTCTGGAGGGGGAATGAGGAATAATTTATGGGAGCAAGGATTCTTTTTGGGGTAATGAACATGTTCTACAATTGATGCGGTGCTGGTCACACAACTCTGAATATACCAAAAAGAAGTCCTCACACTGTGTACTTTGAGTGGGTGGATTTTATGGCACAGGAATCCTATTTCAGTAATGTGACACAGTCATCATTGCTCAGTGATGTTTCCATCGAGGATGGACTGTGGATACGGTGGTGGTCACAGCAGCGATGCCACACAGCCTGGGTGTGTAGTAGCCGCACCACCTAGGCGCTGGCTGTTGAGCTCCGTGACGTTCACACAGGACGGATACACCTAGCAATGCATTTCTAGGACAGTATCCCCAGATTTTATGCTGTATAAATACATGATGGACTGCTGTACAGCCACGAAGTGCACTGTTGTGTGAAGCGCTCTAAGATGTGTGGTTAAATGAAAAGAGGAAGCACCTGTAACAAAGTGGGGGAGAAAGCGTACGGATGTGACTTTACTGGTACAGGCATTAAAAAAAGCCACTCTAAGAACATGGGAGAAAGTCACAACAGGAAGTACCTGGGGGAGGTGAGATATAGGTGGATGGAGGGCAGGGGTGGGCGGAAGAATTCTCTCGATGTAGTCTTTTTTTTTTTTAAGATTTATTTATTTATGTATATAAGAGCTGGGGTACAGGCCAGAAATGTGGGGAAGGGGTGGGATGAAGATCATGATCACCAGCCGGGCAATTGCCACTGGTTTTTGTGGTGCTGATGATGTCAGCTATTTGTCATCCCCGAATGCTCACAGAACAGCGACTGGAACAATCTGTACATCATGAGGGACAAGTATTTTCTCCCTGCGTGTGTATATCTTCCTAGGCCTCTGGTCCAGTCAAGACATGTACTGACCACTGACCTAAACACAATCAAGCAAAATCACTCACCCCATAAATATTTGCCTGGCTACAGTTCCTGGAGAAAGAACCCCAGTGTCCCCGACTTCTTTATGTTAGAGGCCAAACTCTGCCAGCGACCACAGCTTTCTTTGTCGTTTCCTGGAGTCGGTAAGTGTGAAAGGTGCCTAAATTGAGGGCAGAGGTGCCAGTGATGTGAATTTGAATCTCCAAAATGGGAGGGCAGGGAGGAAGCATCAAATGTTTTTAGCACAAGTCAAATAGCTCAAGTCAAACCCTGGGCTTACGATGAGGCAGTACCAGCAGTCCAGTGGCGTCAGGAATAAGACGTAATTCCCCATGATCACCCTTGTCGCTTCATATTGTCTGGAGGAATTATCCACTTCAATGAGACAAGAGCTACAAGAGCTAGAAAGGAGGCAGCTGACACTATCCTAGACTTTATGACTGAGAAAAACAAAGAGTCAAATGCAAAGCTGTTGGCCACAGTAGGATAATCCAGTAAGCTGATGGGTACAAAATAAACACTAACAAACCAATATCCAAAAATCTGTATAACAGCAACAACTCTAAGCATAACTGAAGATTCCACCTGCAAGAGGAATCGAAAAGATAAAATAAATGTACAAGATCTGCGCATTCTACTCAGTTGTAAAAAAGAGACGAAACCCCGCCATTTGCAGCAATCTGGATGGACGCAGAGGGTGTTCCACTAAGTCAAGTGAGTCGGCTGGAGAAATACGAGCACCGTAGGATTTCACTCCCATGTGGTGTAGAGAGAAAACACGCGCATGGAGGAACTAAATGAGACACAAAATCCACTCTTAGACTCTCAGGCGCTAAACGAGTGGCCACCGGAGGGGAGGGTGGGCGGAGGGTGGGTCAGTCGGGTACAAGGGGTCAAGTGTAGGGTGAAGGATGCACTTGGACTTTTCATGGTGAACTTCATGCCGTAAATACAGTTGCTGATTTAAACGGATGAACACCTGAAACTTATAGAATGTTCTGATGCAGTGTTGTATCAATTAAAAGTATATAGAAACACGGGCCTCCCTGGTGGCACAGCGGTTGAGCACTGGGTTGCGAAGCTGCCCGCGGCCTCTGCAGTGCAGGTTCGATCCCTGGCCACCAGGAGAGGGTCCCCCATGGCATGCAGACCTCTCCTGCCGCCCGCTGCTCCCCTCAGCAGTGTACCTCGGTCCTTCTGCCTGCTCTGCTCCCCGCTCTGGCTCTGGTGAATTCTCTCACCCTCCTGCGCTTCTGACTGTACCCAGTGCTTGTATAAATAAATAAATAAATCTTAAAAAAAAAAGTATATAAAAACAAAGATTAATAAAAGTAAAAGTTTTATGAACAGAAAATCTAAAACACAGAGGGGTAAAAAGGAAGCTGTGACTAAGGTAAATGTCTCCAGTCCTTGGACAGGATGACACATTCTATCCAGATCAACCCATAAAGTTAGCAGAAAGCCGACGAAGACGTCAGCGGAGGCGCTGGTGTTTGTTGTTGTCACTCTTGTTTTCTTTCCAGAAATACACTCAATTATGAAGCCCAGTGGGCTCAGGCTAATGATCTCATTCCCCCCTTTCCCCCCAAGCATAGAGACTACACTTTTCTAGTCCATTGGTTAGAATTCCAGCAACGGGGTGTGAAACATTACAAACCCAAGATGCTGCCGAGAGCACACAGAGCCCTCACTCTAAACACATGTCCTTGCAGAGAGCAGCCCAGCAAAGCAAGGGAACAGCTAAGGCACGTAGGTTCCCCGCCGGCTGCCTGAGAAGGCCTCCTGCCCTTCCCCGAAGACTACAGCTCACCCTGGCTGTATGACGTAAGGACGTTGGCGCCGGCAGAAATGGTTGAGCAAAGGTATAAATGTTTGTGAGGTTTTGGGGTTTGGCCTCACCCGCTTTTCTCAAAGGAGGCAGGAGATAAATAAATCTGTTAGCTTTCTTAATGAAACAAGGACTTTGAGAGTCTTGCTTCATTCAAATCAACACAGACAATGTGAGTCTAAAATTTATAAGGGATATTGAACACGCAAAAAAGTAGCCAAGAAAATCCCAGGGAAATAAAGAAATGAAATATCCCGGGAAGATGTTCCGCCACAGAAACGAGAAGCCTTGATCCAAGAATGTAAACAGGCAGACAGATGAATGGAACAGAATAAAATCCTGAAACAGACTAAAAAACATTCAGGGCAATAGTATAAGATAAAGGGGACGTGTCACATCCGTGGAGGAAAGATGTGGTAGCTCCCCAGGCTGGGAGACATCGGGGAAAGAGTTAAACTGCGTCTCTGCTTCCGACTCCCACCAAAATAAATTCCAGACGGAGCGAAGTTATCATTTTTTAAAATAAAGTCTTAAAAGTGCTAGAACAAACACGGATGATTTATTTTTATAATCCCAGATTGCGGCTGTCTTTCCAGGCGACATAAAATCAGAAATCACAAAATAAAAGACCGATAAATCCAGCAATGCCAGAATGAAGAGTTAAAAATATCTGTGGCGAAAACAAAACGCAGTTAACACAACCAAGAGCTCAGCGCTAGGTGGGGGAGGAACCAGCGTCACACTCGAGCATGTTTTTCAACAGGCAAAGGCTTTTGACATTCAGAAACAGGCCAGCAACTCCCCAGAAAGACGGACAAAAGAAAAGGACCAGTAGCCACGGAAAAGCAGTAGAAACGTCTTTTTTAAAGATGGGAATCTTTTTAAAATGTTGTCATTGAGGTAACACTGCCGGACACGGCCCCACAGGCTTCAGGCGCGCGTAGCCAGCGTCTGATCGACTGAGTCACGGTCATGTCCCAACCTCCAGTTTGCAGCCTCCTTGCAAGGCCCCCGTCACCGGATTTGCCTCCCGCCCCTCTGGCACCACTGCTTTGTGCGTGTCGTCTAAAAATCTGCTTCATTTGGTTTATTCATTTGTTTTGCTCTGTTTTTTCATCTTCTACATCTGTGTGAAGTCACCCCATCTTGTCTGTCTCCATCTGACTTATTTCCCTAAGTCTAACACCCCCTGGTCCCTCCTTTTGTTGCAAAGGGCAGGGTTTCACTTTTGTAAAACAGCTGAGTAGGATTCCACGGACAGAGCCCACATCTTCTTACCCCACTCACCTTCTGCGGGTGGCTGTGGTTTTCAGCTCTTGGCTGCTGTGTGCAATTCCGGGGTGCCCAGCTCTTTGAGTGACAGCTTGTGTATTCTTTGGGTAAACACTCAGATGTGGGATAACTGGATCATATGGACCAATGTCCTTTCAACAGGTAAAATATTCTCCTTCATTATACTATAGATACAAATTAAAATCATAACTAGACCTCATTTACTACTAGTGGACATGTGAAAGATGGTCTCGAGAGTGGGACCACCCCGTCTGTAAAGTGGTGCCAGTTTAGTTCATCATCGCAGCCACCTGACCGCCTGGCACAGCTCACGGGAAGGCGGTTGACAGTATCATTATTAAGGATAATTGATATTATTAAAATTTTATGGCATGCATACCTTCTGACCACGCAGTCAGTCATGTTCTAGGAATTCTGGGACCTTGGCGTGAGCATGTTCCAGCAGGTCTGAGCAGGCGGGGTCAGCGCCCCTACAGGACAGCGGAGGGCTGGGGGGCTTCCAGGGTCCCGAGGAGCCACTGCTCAGAGGCAGTGCACGAGCTCGATCCCCAGGGTGGGAACGGCCGGTGCAAGCAGCGCAGGAATTAGGCGGGTCCAGGAGCCGACGAGGGACAATCTTCAGCATCACAGCTGCTGGGGGGGAAACTAGCTTGATGCTCGTGGGTACGAGCCCTACAGTGCTTGTGCATTGTCGGGGCAGGAAGACCACACGGAGCAGGTTTTCTGACCCAGCAGACCGGGTCAAGGAGGAGTCAGAGGCC